GAGAGAGAGAGAGAGAGAGAGAGAGAGAGAGAGAGAGAGAGAGAGAGAGAGAGAGAGAGAGAGAGATTGCTCCCCTGTGTGCATCTTGCCACACCCCGACCCAAACGGCACCTCCCATTTTCAATTTTCACTCACATGACGAGTTGGCAGACCAACACCTCCACTTGCTGACGCACAGACCTGATAACATCAGGATGATCTAGACAAACAGCACGAGTGGGCTCGAGACACAGCTTCTGGCATCCAGTTCACCAGGCAGGCATGACTCCGCATGCGTTAATCAATTTGGCTTATCCTCTAAACTGCCATCTGCTGCATTTCACGGAACGGACAAACTGGCACATAATCGAAAACGAATTCGGTCAAGTACAAAGGACAAACCATACACACCCACTTGTGCACCAGCACACCCTGAAAGTGCAAGAAGGCAATGCTGATTCGCTCTTCATCCAGCTTCAAGAAAGCCAAACTTATGGCACAACTGAGTCCCCAAACCCAGGTCCATTTTGACATCAGTCGCGATGCCCTATTGTGCACACGTAGGAGCACATTTGGGCTGTGTACCATTTCGCGCCATGATCGAGTTGGATGACATTCCTTTTTTCTTTTTTCTTTTTTTTTCCTCTCTTCTCCTCTTTTTCCTTTTCCAAGGGCGACGGCCTTGAGATATCATCATCGAAGTGACCAGCCCTAGGTAATTCAGATATTGTAGTTTTTCACTCATCTGCTTCCACTGGAGTTTCCTGGGTCTGCATTTCAACAGTTCACGACTCGTGGTTAATGGGTGGTGTTGTTTTCGGCGAATTTTTCACCGAAACTGTCATATTTCCCTCACGGGTGTAACAACTGAGCTAGGCCAGTTCGTACAATGACATTACTTTCAGTCCGCACATCGAACGATTAGACATTGGGACCACCACCGGTAGGTCCCACTTACACAGGTTCCTCATCTCTGGCCATTGATTATTTTATGGTTTTTATTGCTTTGCCTCTGGCCATTGATCCTCGTAATCGACAGCTGGGAAACAAGAAATCCAACTGAGAGTAACCTCACCCATCATCTCTGGGGAACCCCAACCACCATTACAAAAACAATTGCAATAGATGGAATAAATGGCAGACAGGCGGAGTGACGCAGTGCAAGACGGTAGGTACAAAACTAAGCGTTACGCACGTAGATAAGAAGCATGACGGCATAATAACACTCCCATTCGCAATACGCAGCCAGGTGTCCACAAGATCGTGCCGCTGTGGACCGGTACAACACCCACATGCCCACTTTCTGGCTCACGGAGGAGAGAAGCAGCAGAGGTGGCTGGTCGCCAGCCTGCCTGTCTTACAGACGATTGCCCCGCAGGAGGAGGAGGTCGGGCAGATTCTCAAAAGATGCATGCATGCTTGCACATGTCACTTCCACTCCCGTCACCGCTAAAAATAGCCACCGTCCTACCTATACGACTGCCTCTGTGGCATCGCCTTATCATGACAGATATGAGCTTTTCCTTAACCTGTTGGATAATCCACATAAGGAGGGGGAAGAGTGTGGAGGGGGAAGAGTGTATGTAGATGTAGGAGAGCTGTTGTTGAAACCTGGAGTTTGACATGCCTCTGCGGCTGGTCGCCTCCCTATGTGTGTTGCACTGGATGCAGCTGTCGATTTCTAGCATTTCAAAATTGTCAGCAACGACTCCGCATCAGTTTTTTTTTTTTTTTTTCTCTTTTCTTTCCTTTCGTTTCAAATGGGGTAGACACTAGATTTTTTTTTTTTTTTTTTTTTTTTTTGGGGGGGGGGGGGGGGG